AGAAAAATTTTCGACCGAAGAGGACCAGTGGGAAGACGATCCAGAGGAAGACCAAAACTTAGGTATCAAGATAACATAGAGGATGATCTAAAATCCATCGGAGTTAAAGCATGGAGAAAGTTGCCAGAGGCAGGGGCGAATGGAAGATTGTTCTGAAGAAGCCTTTGGCTCATGACGAGCTGAAATGCCACTGATATGATGAAATAACTATCCAAGATTTGTGTTTTATTCATCAATTGGATACTTTTATGTAACTGCAACCTATAAATATATTAAAATAATGTATATTCCATTCAGAGAACTTTTTCCTCGCAGTGCGTCGCCTCGAAATACTTGCCAGATAAATACATTTACTATTATGATGGTTTCGCAGGTACCAATTTTTTATAGATAAATAAAAATATTTTTTGTTTAATTTTTACTACGCTAATATCAGTTTTCTCTAACAAATATTAACAAAATATTAATTATATATTAATATTAATATAACAAAATTTAAATTTATTATAAATAAACACCATGGTGTTTTTTGCAGTCACGTTTCACAAATTTTTATTTAATACTATGTTTAGACATATAAATTAAAAATGTGATTAATTCTTTTTAAAACATTATCTACGATAATTAATCTAAAAAAAAGTATTCCGACAAAACTAATTTGAATGGAGAATAATGCATTTATTTTAAACAACCCGTCGGCCGGCGCCACTGAATAAACATCCAAACTATGTATTAGGAAGTCACGTAGGGTCTGACATAGCAGTGTAGAAAAGTAAGTGATACGCCCACTTCAAATCGCAGTATGCTATAACTGCGAAAACAGCCTTAATGTTTCCAATAATTCATGCAGTAGAATGTTAATCATTAGGTTTTGTTTTCAAATACTTCTATGTTACTTATCAAAGTTTACGAATCTGTATTCCATAGTTTTGATGTATTTATATGTAACTTTCTTAAAAATCTCATTTACAACATCTAAACAGAAATATAACTACTCTCTTATTTCCATCTTATTCCCTTATTATTTCCATTACCCCATTCTTCGACTTGATATATATAAAACGAAACCTTCAGTCCCCTTAGCAAATTTCCCACAGGCTACTATTCTTGACAGGACCCCCAATGGGTTAAACACGAGGTAAATAGATCACGTGTCTCCCTCTTAGCGGGACATTTCAGAACTACAAAAAGAAAGAAACACACCCTCTGTTTTTCGTCAAATCCTTTGTTAACTTTAAGGGTAGGAGCGTGTCCTATTGGGTGGTTTTCACTGAAACCCTGTATTATTAGTCAAATTAAAAGTGCGGTCCTAATGGGAGCTCCGATATGAGTAGTACAGATTTAATGAAAAGGTTTGGTATAGCCGAAAGGTTTTGACTAAATGTTATATTTAGTATTTAAAGAAATATCTATATATAAAATAAATTATAATTTGGTAAAAGTTTTAATACAGAATTTATTTTTAAATTTATAATAAATATTATTGAAATAAAGAAATGATAATTAAAATACAGGTTATGATAATTAAAAAAACTGATATATAACAGAGGAAAAGCGATATATCACATATCAGTGCACGAGATGCAAAACTCGCTTAATGCATGTAAAGTCAATTTGAGAAAAGTGCAAAAAACGTTTTTTGCATTATATTTTTTAATAACCAATTAATGATGTTAGCGTGCCTTTAGAACATATACACCTCTAATAGTTTTTAACATATTTTAAAAAAATAGTGCACATTTTTTAAATAAATGAAGAAAAAATAATGCATTTAGCGAGTTTTGCATCAAAAAATGTTACATCAATAGTTTGAAACAAATTTTATTCACAAAGAAATTAAACAGTGATTTACATATTACATTAAATTGGTAAATTAATATCGCAAGGTTTTAAACCACTGCAGCCAGCTTCAACATCGTTTACAGAATTTTGGTTTTCCACCATTCGAGGGTTAACAAGATTTTCTTTAAAGAAAACCAAATCAGGATTTTCTTCCCAGGCGTTTCCATAATGTTTTTTGAGAAGAGAAATTATTGTCTATTTATCGCCTTTGAGTTTGCAGCCAATAGGAAGTTGAGTAGGATTGATACGTGTCAATTTTAGTCCTCTCTTGACAACAGACTTGCTTCACCGACGTCAACACAATAATTGGGCTCACCTCGTATTAGTGCATTGGTTTTCCCTTTAGTAAGCACAAACCTTTTAGCCTTATTAAACTGAAAGTGCCATGAGGATGGTGCTTTGGTGTTTACTTGTGCTTCATTCTTCCAGTCATACACCTGCCAATCTAAACCCAATTTTCTAATTGTCGACTTATTTGCTGTAATATCTTCGTAGTCAGAAGTTTTTAAAATAATGGATTTCTATTTAACCTCTCTTTCAATTATTCCGAACAACCTATCAGGTGGTATGAAAGAATGTCCTACTACGGGGAATATTATGTTAATGGTCTTTATGTTTTTGGGAGCTTTCGTCATCAACCAAACAGAAAGCATGGTCATCATTATAATATCCTTATTTTGCCCCCCACATCCATCAGCAAATAAACGAATTATATCGATTTCATTGGGAAAGTTAAACTTATTCACTACATCCCAAACAGCTGAAGCTATCGAATTATAATTTTTGGGAAAATCAACCTCCGTCCAAACATAAGAATAAACATTTTCTGGAACCAACTGTGCTGCTGATGATCCATGAATTACCGTAAAGTTGTAATAGTTAATTTGTTGACTAAAATAACTAGCTTGATCGGGAAGCTTCGGCAAAGGCAAATTTTTCTGACAATCAAACGAAAAAACCGCTGTATTTTCTAGCGGCTGCTTTAATAAGGCAAAATCTATGTATCCGTTGCTCGGTGATAATAGTTTGCTTTTCTGAACTAGAAATATTTTTGTTTTTTAACTTTTCCTTCGATCTTAAGCAGGCTGAGCATAAATCCTAAAATATTTGGCCACATGATTGGCCAGCGCGCGCTTCTTGACGTTCGCGCCACGAAGTGTGCCGATACGTCCCGACACGACAGGCACCGCGACTATAAATAGAGCGGTAGCGGAGTAATCGTCGGATTCACTCCCCGCCTCTCGACGCGTTTAGTGTTCTGAGCTGTTGGACGTGAATCCCTGTCCTGGCATTTGGTTTTCACCTCTGGCTGCGTTGAGTAGTTGAGTTACTGTGACCAAATGCCCATCTTGGTAGTTAGTATTCGCCTCTGGTTGCGTTGAGTAACTGAGTTACCGTTGCTAACTACCCATCTTCCTGTTCTTTTGTTTTCTTTTTTCTTTTTCTTTGTTTCTCCTGAAGAAGCTACATATAATTGTAGCGAAACGTCGAGATGAACCCACTTTTGGGTCACTCACAAATGACACGGTCCAAACCCGGAAGACGAATAAACTATAATTCTGACTCTGGCCGTGGAAGCCTACGATTTCAAGTTATTGATGAATAACTTTGAATTATAGACTTGTGTTGTCATGGATCCCAAGATATTTTTCAAGAAACATACAAAATCCAAGAAGCACGTGGCAAAAAGTAGAACAAGCTCTATTTAACGACGTGGCGTAGCAAGCTACATGACGCCACTGACACTACCATTTTGGTGTGCGCTGAATAATTCGTTTGCATTGGTTACATTTTAAGTATATGCTAGACGCGCGCTACTTGCCACTTGCCATGGCAGTTTAGTGGGCGCTCTCCCTTACGGACTACTCTGCCGATTGGGATATGATCTGTATTTTCATGTATTTTCACCGATATAGTTCCGTTTTTCTATGTATTGTAAATTAACGTTGTATATCGGTAGTCAATACGGCAGGCTTGTAGTGCTTTCAGGATTTTGTCAAATTCTACCGTGTCAAAGGCTTTATGGAAATCTACAAAAGCCAGAACGAGTGGTCGATTGTATTCGATAGTCTTTTCTATTACCGTTTTAATTCTCTGTAGGTGATGATTTGTTCCAAATCCGGTACGAAATCTCTATTGCTCTATTGGCTGGTAGAAATCTAGTTTTTTTTTCAAGAAGAATTACCCTAGTATTGTGCCATTTGTCAGGTATATTACTGTCCAAAAGGCACATGTTAAAAAGGTTTTTTATTTTCTTAAGTAGGTAAATGCCTCCGATTTTGATTGCATCAATAACTACACAATCTTCGCCTGGAGATTTGTTATTCTTAGCTTTTCTTAGGGCTAGTTTTATTTCGTCCATTGTGATTTTAGGTAGTATGTAGTTCTGATCTTTGGTCGACAATGCCCTTTTTCCTTGTTAATATTTCTGATACTTGATTTTCTCTGCTATTTACTTTGTGTTGGTTTGTGTACAGCAATTTATAGAAGTCTTCAACCATTTTAAGAGTTTTCTCTTTGTTGGTTGTAAGATGACCATATCTATCTTTAATCTTTATTATCTGCCTTCATACTTCTATTGTTCTCAATGATATGTTTGATTTGTTCTTTTTGAGTGTCTTGTCTAACTGTTTTTGGATATTTCTTTATTTAATTTTTGTAGTTCGTTGGCTTTAGTTTAAATCTCGCTTCTCATTTCTCTTCTTTTCTGCATTAGCTGTTTAGTATTTTGGCTGATCTTTACTTCTATTTGAGTTCTAGGACAGAATTTGTTTTGACTTTTCAGTAAAGTATTTGTTAATTTATTATTTACCTTATTTATATTATTTTCTGTTTCAGGACTACTACGTATGTCGGAAATACATTGCTGAAAATTATCTACATCTGATGGTTTCATCCATGGTTTTGATTTGTTCTTCTCTTTAATCATCTTATACCTCTCATTCATTAAGCTTATTTTTACTTTACCTCGTACCATTCTATGATCGCTACTGGTAACAAATATGTTTAGAACCATGATGTCTTTAACGGTTTTGATAACTTTTGAATAACCACCATAAATATCAGTTTTATCAATTCGACTTTGTTAGGTACTATACAATGAATGATTGTAGTCAACGAGTTTTATTCTTCACTATTTTCAAAGAAAAAAAAAATTTTAATTTTGTATTACAATTTTATTGCCTTGATACTAACTATATATTACATTATTTGTATTTCTCACTCGACTTAAAGGACATCCTTAAATAAGCTCCATCATCATTGCTTAATGGAATAAGTTGGTCGATCAGTTTTAAGATACTGCATCCTGATTTGGTAATAAATATACAAGAAAAACCCATACTAAAAGTTATAAATAATTAATATTAAGAAATAAAGCATTATTACTTAAATAATAAAAATTACAGCGCTTTAAATAATATAACAAAATATTGCTCAGTATGATCTCCATGATAATAAGGCAAGATGAGCTCCTGCCCAAAATCACAAACCAGGGATCAAAGTTAATGCCAGAAATAACTCCATGCGTAATCAAAACGATACTCTTAGAAATGAAAAATAACAAATCCACTGGCGATGACGGAGTAGTGATCAAAGCAATCAAACTAGGTGGAAATAAAATTATCCAGGTTTTAGCCAAGCTTTTCACCGAACGCATCTACCAAGGAAAACTTCTTTTCTCAATGGAACAATGCAGTTATTATTGCATTACACAAGTAATGAGACATAACAGATCTAAAAAAACTACTAAATAGACCACTTACAAGTAATAAAGAACCTGATAGAGAAGTCTGCAGAATACAACAAACCATTGGTACTGATATTTGTCGACTACGACAAAGCATAAGCCATAAGAAAATGTTTAAAGCATTGACAGAATGCCGAATAGACCATTGATATACCAACATAATTACCTAAATATATCTACCAAAATGCCACAGCCAGCGTAAGACTATCTGAATAAGACGCAAATAATGACTAACCTGGTGCTAAATCAAAGTATTGCTTTTGATGGAAGGGATATTGTGCAGACTACATCGTATAATAACTTAAGACATGCAATTTGGTAGGGAAGAGGTAACCAGACATGGGAGCTATCACGTCGCATAGGATTAGCCTGAGCAGCGTTTGGTAAATCAAACTATGTATTTAAATCAGATCTGCCCGTATGCCTCAAAAAGAAAATATTTGACCAATGTGTGTTCCTTGAACTCACTTATGGAACTGACATATTAGCACTCACAAAAAGGATAGTGAATAAGATTTCTTGGACTCAGAGACCTATGTAGATTCAGATGTTGGGTGTATCTCTGAGAAACCGAATCCCAAACGAAGAAATACGCCGTACAACAAAAACAACAGACATCATCAAAAAAATCCCGTCGTTAAAATGTAATTGGGTAGAACACGTCGTCAGATTATCAGACAACTGATGGACAAAACGTATTGTCTAGTGGAGACCAAGATAAGAAGCAAGATGGAGCAGAAGACGCCCAACAACTAGATTGACTAACGACCTGAAGCGTGTTAGCAATAACTGGATGCAAGCCGCACAAAGCAGAGACAGATGAAAAAACGTGAGGGTGATCTATGTCCGGCAGTAGACGCATACAGGTTGGTGAAGATGATCTCCTTTATGTGCCACCTTCTTAGCGGAAGTTGGCATTAATTTAGTTTATTTTATTTTATTTTATTTTATTTTATTTTATTTTATTTTATTTTATTTTATTTTATTTTATTTTATTTTATTTTATTTTATTTTATTTTATTTTATTTTATTTTATTTTATTTTATTTTATTTTATTTTATTTTATTTTATTTTATTTTATTTTATTTTATTTTATTTTATTTTATTTTATTTTATTTTATTTTATTTTATTTTATTTTATTTTATTTTATTTTATTTTATTTTATTTTATTTTATTTTATTTTATTTTATTTTATTTTATTTTATTTTATTTTATTTTATTTTATTTAATTTTATTTAATTTTATTTAATTTTATTTAATTTTATTTTATTTTATTTTATTTTATTTTATTTTATTTTATTTTATTTTATTTTATTTTATTTTATTTTATTTTATTTTATTTTATTTTATTTTATTTTATTTTATTTTATTTTATTTTATTTTATTTTATTTTATTTTATTTTATTTTATTTTATTTTATTTTATTTTATTTTATTTTATTTTATTTTATTTTATTTTATTTTATTTTATTTTATTTTATTTTATTTTATTTTATTTTATTTTATTTTTAAATAAGTAAAGCTGTCTATTTAACGTCGATTTTTTATTAATATCACCATTTTGCATTATTCTGTTATATGTAAAATAAAAAGGGTAACTTACTTAAGCTGCAATATGAAATAAATAGAAGTGAAGGTTCACAGCCATAAGTAAGTAACACGGGAAAAACAAACGCCCCCAATGATCCTCCAAGTCGACCGGTCGTCATTAATAAAGATACAGATGTTGCCCTATAATAAAAAAATATTAGTAAATTTTTAAAAAACATGTTTTCAAGTAAAACGATCAAATATTAATAAAAGTGTTCTTTTAAATTTGCCAGTACTTATTCATTCTTCTATCGAAGGACTGGAACGGTCTTCGAAGATACTGGAATGCCTCTAGCATAAGGGTGGCCGCACACAGAAAAAGCAAAACTGTTTTAGTCAAAAACGTTTTTGATTAAACGAGTCTGATGCTGATGTTTCCATATAAATGAAATGAGCTGACGCACACTGATTAGTCGTGTGTCTAAAGCATGTTTAGGCTCATTTAGTTTTAGTCAGTCTGTTTGATGTTAATTACCGGATCGTCGTTTTGTGTCAAAACATTTCAATGTACGCAGGCGCAACGTGTTTTTGGAATTCCCTTCTTAAAACCGCTCGAGTAGTCAACAAGAAGCACATCTGGAAACAACTATATTTTGCTTGTTTATATTGAAAGTCGACGCAGAAAAAATTAATTGTACTGATATAGGCCAGACCTCCTTATATAACTATCAATTAGAAGATCACTACAATCAAAATTTGAACCGCAAAGACTGGAGAGTTTTTTCAGCAGTTCATTTCTCATTTATAGGATTCATCCAAAATTGTCTTTTATTTTGCGTTTTTTTTTTGTCCTGCAAGAGGAACTACTGCCAGAAAACTAGTGCAATTTCGTCGTTATCTGTCGACGTCTTTAATAAAACTGACTGCAGTATGGTTTGTGCTAACATTTTGTTTCTCTTGAAAATGTTTCTTGTGGAAACAAAAACGTTTTCGTTTCGACCAAAAACGTTTTTGACTAAAACAGTTTTGCTTTTTCTGTGTGCGGCCACCCTGAGGAATACCCGCAAAATCTTTTTGGAATTTGTAGAGGTCAGAAATATTAAATGTGTAAGATATATTAAATAGTTTATACATTCACCAAATTCCTTTATTCTTGTTTCTCTTAATTATTCTTGAAGATGACATCTTTAATATATTGGCGGATATATTATTGTAGAAGGATAACAAATCTCCGGGGGAGGACGGTGTCTTTACGAAAGCGATAAAGATAGGAGGCTCAGTACTGATAGCCAAAATTCAAAAGCTCTTTAATCTGTGCCTATGGAATCAAAATATCCCAACAAAGTGAAATAATTTAATAACTGTACTCTTACATAAGAAGGGAGATATAGCAGACCTGGAAAGATACAGACCAATCAGTCTCCTTAACCATCTTTATCAATTATACACCCGAATAATAACGAACAGATTAGAGACAAAGCTGGATTTTTACCAACCTCGGAAACAAGCTGGTTTTCGCCCTAATTACGGCACAAACGATCATCTGCAATGCATTAAAACCCTGATAGAAAAAACTAACGAATATAACCGTCCCTTGGCATTGATATTTGTAGACTTTAAAAAGGCGTTTAATACAGTGGAACTACCGTCCATCTTAAGAGCACTACAAGATTGCAGGGTCGACCACAGATATTGTAATATAATCAAAAATATATATGAAAATGCAACAACAACCATAAGTCTACATTCTGCAACTAATAAAATAAAGTTAAAAAGGGAGTCAGGCAAGGTGATACCATGTCACCAAAGCTGTTCATTACCGTTCTTAAGTATGCATTTAAAAAACTAACATGACAAGAGAAAGGAATATCCATCGATGGAAAAAGATTAACCCATCTACGTTTTGCGGACGATATCGTGCTTCTGTCAGATAATCTGGGAGAGATCAAAGACATGCTCCAAGAACTGAATGACATACTACAAGAAACTGGGCTGGAGATAAATTTAGAGAAAATCAAAATGATGACGAATATGGTTCCCAGCGAAGAGATACAGATTAATAAAAACAAGGTCGAATTAATCGATAAATACACATACTTGGGTCATGAAATTAGAATAACCAAAGACTACCAAACCTGTGAGCTAAATAGATGAATCACGTTGGGATGGGCGGCATATGTAAGAATAAGAGATATTTTTAAAACAAATATCCCAATTCACCTGAAAAGGAGGGCATTTAACCAATGCATCTTACCAGTCTTGACCTATGGATCAGAGACCCTAACTTTAACGAAAGCTACTGCCGAAAAACTGAGGGTAACACAAAGGCGAATGGAGAGATCAATGTTGCTAGAATGGAAGACGGAAGATGGATGAAGAGATTATTGGAGTGGAGACTAAGAGCCAACAAGCGAAGTCGAGGCAGACCCCCCTCCCGATGGACCGACGACCTAAGGAGAATCGAAACAAACTGGATTGCAGCAGCTAAAGATAGAGAGAACTGGACACGTTTGGAGGAGGCCTATATCCAACAATGGATGTGAAAATGGGGCTGAATGATGATGACATTATTGTACATACCATAACGTTCTCCAACGAAAATTTGTACACCTCTAAGAAGCAGCACAAAAAAAGTTTTGACAAAATCCAAAGATTTGTACATCGAGTACTGCACATTTTTATGCACAAATAGTTCTTCAATATTTTCTTTGGCCATGCATGATCAGCCACCAGACAGCTACACGGACTATTATGGAATAAAAAAATAACAAAAGAAAATAAAAGAAGAATTTATAAAACAATAATAGAAAGTATTGGACTGTACGGCGCCAAACTCTAGCCTGAAGATATTCGGAGAGAAATCGATCTAGACATAATAGACACAATCGAAGCCAAAAGACTTAACTGGTATGGACACCTTCAGAGAATGCTGGAAAACAGATGGCAAAAAAAAAACAGACGAATGGACTTCACCAACTAGAAGAAAACGAGGTAGACCAAGACGATCCTGGAGAGACGATGTCGAAGATGCAATGACCGCCAGAGATCTAACAACTGAAGATTGCTTCGACAGAAAAAGCTGGAAATTATAATGCGAGAAGCGGCGCCAGCTGTAGAAGACTCGCTTGTTATATATATTATATATTTTCTTGGGGGTTGCAACCTCCCAAGTTGCTACAAGTTATATAATTAAGACAAACATGCCAGTTAAATAACTGTCTCTTTTTGAGCATTATATGTAAATTTATCAGTTTCTGTTTACAATTAATTATGATAAAATATGTATTAGAAATTGATCCTCACCTTAAATTAGTTGGAAATAAGTCCACCACAATAGCTACTAAAGCATTAAAAGCAATGTTGCCAAAAGAACATATTATTGATGATAATACCAATGTCATGAAGAAATCCTGAGCATATATTAATAAAAATGATGCAATTGCTGATGTTATTCCAAGGAAATCTAAAATGACAGATATAAATTATTAATAACTTTGTCGAAAAATATAAGAGATTAAAAAAATAATTTATAAATAGCAAAACCTTCTTCTTCTTCTTCTTTTGGCATCATAACCCTGTATGGGTCTTTGCCTGTCTGGCTATGTCCTTCCATTCAGATCTCTCGTGTGCTCTTCTTCTCCATTGTCTTATGTTCATTGTTTTCAGGTCGTCTTCCACGTCATCCAACCATCTCGTTCTGGGCCTTCCTTTTTTTCGCCTTCCTATGGGCTTCCATTGTAACATTTTCTTTGTTGTTTTTTTGGCATTGTTTTGTCTCTGCACATGTCCCAGCCATGACAGTCTTTGACTTTTCACAAATCTTACAATGTCATAACCTTCATTTAACTCATTAACCTCGTTGTTTCTCCTGATTCTCCATGTGCCATCTTCCTCTTGTACCGGGCCATATACTTTCCTCAGTATTTTTCTCTCGAATGTCCTTAGTTGGCTTAATCTTTTTTCGTCATTACCCAAGTTTCACATACATAGGTTACTACGGGTCTAATCAGTGTTCTGTAGATAGTCATTTTGGTTCTTTTGTCTAATAATTTCGATGTCATCAATCTTTTATTAGCATAGTATGTACGATTCCCGCTGGAAATACGTGCATTAATTTCGCTACTTACGGAGTTCTTCTAATTGATTTCTGTGCCGAGATATGTAAAGGCCTCCACTTGTTTGATTGTACAGTTGTCTATTGTGATATTATATTCATTGTCAGTTATTCTTTTGACTGACATATACTTCGTTTTTGCTTCGTTTATTTTGAGACCTCTTTTTCTTGCTTCAGGATCAATTTGTTTGAACACTTCCATTAGTCGTGGCTTATTCCTACTAATAACGGCTACATCGTCTGCATATCCAGTAATTTGTACTGATTTGGTGTTTATATGGCCGGTTATATTGGTTTTTCTGATAACTGCCTCAAGAACTAGGTTGAATAGCATGGTTGATAGGGCATCTCCCTGTCTTACTCCCATGTTGATGTTAAACAGGGGAGTCAGTTCTCCATCTACTCTGACTGCAGCTTTTAAACCCTGCAACGTCATTTTTATGAGGCTGATGTATTTCTTAGGTATACCTAGATTACAAAGGTCTTCCAGCATTCTGTGTCTTTTCACACTATCAAAAGCTTGTTTAAAGTCTATATACATATTATATAGGTCTATGTCGTATTCATAAGCTTTTTCTTGTATTGTTCTTAGTATGAATATGTTATCTGTAGTGGCTCTATTTGGTCTGAATCCATTTTGATAATCACCAATTATATTTTCGGAGTATTCTAATAATCTATTGTAGATTATACCAGAAAGAATTTTGTATATTACATTTAGCAATGTAATTGGCCTATAATTCTGGCATTCCCTCTTATCTCCTTTTTTATATATTGGCTGTATAAGGCCAATTGTCCATTCCTCTGGCATTTGCTCCTTCGTCCATATTAATTTTATTAGGTAATCGATTCTTTCCCAGAGTTCGGATCCTCCATGCTTTATTAATTCTGCTGAAATTCCGTCCGTTCCTGGTGCTTTATTGTTTTTTAGTTTTATTTATTATCTGAACTACTTCTTCATAACTCGGATTTTCGATGTGCAGCTCCGCCGTATAATATATTGTCTCGTTCTGATCATTTTCGTTGTCTGAATTTAGATTTTCTTCGAAATATTGTTTCCATCTCATCATAATTTTTTGCTTCTCTGTTAGTAGTTCTCCGTCCTTGTCTTTGCATATCGTTAGTTTTGGTCTAAATGACTGTGTGCTTTCTTTTATGCATTTATAGAATTTTCTGCTTTCGCGTCTGTTGTTATGCTTTACGATTTCTTGTATTTGTTTTTTCATAGCCTCTCTTTTCTTTCTTCTGCATATTCTAGTCGCTTGTATTCTTTTTTCGTCATAAATCTCACTGATATTTCTTGTGTTTCTTTGAAGTTGGTTAAGCCTAGCTTGCCATTTTTCCTCTACTGCAGTTCTGCATTCATCATCATACCATTCCGCATTTCTTTGCCTTTTATATAATACAACAGATAAACAGTTTATAAACAAATTTAATGGCAGTGTTTAATAAATTATTACTTACATAAAAGTGTCTTCTTGCCGATACGATTTACAACAAATCCAGATACAGCAAAAACTAGAATTGTACTGGAGGCAACAATCATGCAAAATATGTATATTTTTGTATTTTTACTCAAGTCCTAAAAAGAATAATAAGTCAATATCTGAACATTTTATGTGTTTAGGATATTTCTTCATAATTAGATAAGTATCTATAAAGAATGAACTTTACTTACACTTTGACATATTTCACCAACTCCAGTCAGATCTCGTAGATCATATAGTGTTTCACATACTGTGGCAGTGTTGTTGTGATGTTGTTGATGAATACTCATTTCTTGAAGGATTTGTGGCAACCAAAGCATAACTGAGTTTAAACTAAAACGAGTATTTTATATAATTGTTATTGCTAAACACTCATACTATTATCCAAATAAAAATAAAATTTATGGTACATACATATAATACAAGTACGTCTCTTTTAGATGTTCCTTCTTTTGCTATTATTGTTTAGAGGTAATTTAAATCTTTTTCTTTTTTACATCTTTAGTAGAAATTTAAGGATTTCTTTGTTCGTTCTTTCGAACATTACTAATGTAACATGTTTAACTTATCTTTCTCATCATGACCATCTTTAGCTCGACAATCCTCTGTGGTCTACTATAAGATTAGTTGACATGTTCGGTTTCTTGCAACGTGTTGCCATCTTCTGATCTCCAGTATCCCTGAGTAGGTCTCAACTCCATCTAACCACCTTATTCGCGGTCGGTCTTTGCTTCTTATTTCTATACATGTTTCTGTCGTTATCTTTCCAGCAATCATGTTGTCAGGCATTCGTATTGTGTGTCCGACCCATCTAAGTCGCTCGGTTTTAATGAACTTTACGGTATCTGATTCATTCAAGAGTTAGTATAATTCGAAATTAAATTTTTCGCGCCACTGCCCTTGATCGTTTATATGCAGCTCCAAATATTTTGCGCATTTCCTTAACTCTTTGAAAGTCTTGGCTGACATGAGAGGTACATTGAAAACATTTTTATAAATATTTTGAAAGACGTGCAGCGTATAATTCTACGGCACTGTCTTCTTCTTCTTCTAGTTCCATGACCGTTATCGATCGTTGGATATCAAGTTGACTACCATATTCGCTATAGTGACTTTATTGACAGCAGCTCTAAATAACGATGTAGTTGATTTTCCATACCATTGCCTTGGATTTTTCAGCCATGATGTTCTTCGTCTACCAGGACCACGATTACGTTGGATCTTTCCCTGAATGATCAGATGTAAAAGATCATATTTTTCAGGGTGTCTTATAATGTGACCAAAGTATTCCAGCTTGCGTTTCAAGATCACAGCATAACAACCCTCCTGAAGAATCCGTATGTCACAACCTGTGGGAAATAGAAGTCGGAGTAGGCCAAAACTCAGATGGAGGGATGGCATAGATGAGGATGGTAGAAAAATAGGCGCAGCAAACTAGCAACAGTTGGCAATGGATAGAACTGACAGCCTTAATAGACTTGTGAAGTTCGAGGCTCTTTTATAGGTCTATAGCACCAATGATGATGATGATGATGTAATCTATATTATATATAGAATATCGAAAAAGGTATATCAGTTGGATAATCCAAGGATGTTGAAGTATTTTTTTCGATCCTGACGATGGAAATGAAACAAATGAGTTTAGAGACAAAAGTGGCGTGGACAAAATTTATTATGTCGAAGAGCGATCAGAAAACTCAGACAGCGAACATGACATTTCTAGTGAGGAGAGCGAAGAGAACATAATATATGAAAACGGGGAGTATTTTTTCGGAAAAAACAAAGTAACAAAGTGGGGAGAAAAGCCAGTTTATGGAAATAAAATTAGGCGACAGAAACAAAATATTCTGAGGTGTCACTTGCGTCTAGTATGTTTAGAATGTCTCAAAAAATACAAAAACTGAATATGAATGCTGGAGCTGTTTCGTGTCAGAAGAACTTTTAGATTTAATTTTACATTATACAAATAAATATATAGACTTTATTTCAAACAGATATTCCAGAGAACGAGATGCTAAACAAACCGATAAAATAGAACTAAAATCATTTTTGGGCCTTTTGTATTTAGCTGGCGTACACCTAAGATTTTTATGCGAGTAATTTATAACCGCATTTACAATAAGTGTGAAGAATACCTGAGTCGTTCTCATATGGTTTTAGGAAAGGTACAGGCACCAGAGAAGCAATAATGGGATTGACACTAATGCAGAAAGGTATCTCGAGGTTCAAAAACAGCTGTATGTGTGCTTTGTCGATTATAAAAAGGCCTTCGACCGCATTAGACACGAAAAATTGATTGAGGTGCTAAAAGAAGTAGGGCTGGACGGACACGACATAACTATAATAAGCAATACATACTGCAACCACACAGGATGTGTTCGAACAGACAACGGAAATACCAATTATCTAAACATAGAACGAGGAGTGCGTCAAGGTGCATTCTGTCCCCTCTTCTATTTAATGTCTATGCCGAAAATATCATCAGAGCTTCTCTTGAAGATCGCCCTGAAGGTGCCAGAGTCAATGGAATCATCAATAACAATGTAAGATATGCCGATGACACCGTAGTATTAGCAGAAACAGAAGACCAACTAAAAATATTGATGAACATACTATCAGAAGAAAGTCACAGACTAGGTTTGGATATTAATCTTTCCAAAACCAAAATCATGGTATTCCACAAGAACCCCATGAACAAATTACACCCAACATACACCCTTCAGAGCTCCCAAAGCTTCATATACCTGAGCAGAGAGCTAAACAGTCAGCTAGACCACTCAAAAGAAATTAGAAGACGTATTGAAATAGCAAGATCTGGCTTCATGAACATGCGTAAAATGCTCTGTAACCCCAAGCTATCAATCACAATAAGGTTAACAACACTAAAGTGTTATGTGTGGTCTCTACTACTATATGGCTGTGAGACCTAGACATTAAAACAGTATGACGTCAACAAACTGAATTCATTCGAAATGTGGATGTACCGCCGAATGCTAAGAATAAGCTGGGCCAGCAAAACTACAAATGAAGAGGTACTGGAAATAATGAACACACGACCTCATCTGGTTAATACAATCAAAATTAGAAAGACGTCATATCTAGGAAACATAATGCGCCATAAGGAATTTGAGCAGCTCCAGGTAATATTAGAAGGCAAAATCGAGGGTAAAAGGGGTATAGGAAGAAAGAAGAAATCCTGGCTCCGAAACATCAGAGATTGGACTCACACAACAGGAAATGACTTAATCCATCAAGCCCAGAACAGAGAGAAATTTGCCATATTGATCGTTAACCTCAATAGAGAAGGCACTTAGGAGGAGGAGGGGCTTACACCGCAGTAATCGACTAAATTTGGAAGATTTGTGGGCAACAGATGGTAGTGGAATTGAATTATTTAGACTAACGCCGTCAATGCAAAGATTCAAATTTATTAACAACTGTATAAGATTCGATGACAAGATAACTCGACCAGATCGATGAAAGATTGATAAGTCGTCAGCTGTTAGACAAATATTTTCACTATTTGTAGAAAATTGCAAAAAAGAATACTCTATGGAACAAAACGTAACTATAGACGAAATGGTGGCAAGCTTTCAGGGCAGATGTGGATTTAGGCAATATATCCAATCAAAACCTAACAAATATGGGATTAACATTTTTTCCATGGTTGATTCTAAACTATTTTGCACAAGCAATATGGAAATTTATGCAGGACTGCAGCCTGAAGGTCCAGTTCGTGTCAGCAATAAATCAATAGATGTGGTCAAGAGATTCGCTGAACCTATCTATAATTCAGGAGAAAATATTACTACTGATAATTGGTTCAATCTCGCATCTTTTGGAGTATTATCTTGTTTTATCATAAATATATTTAATAAATATCTGGGAAAGAAGTTCTTGTAGAACTTCTGCTCAATTTTTTATCGATTCTACAGGAATGTTTACAGGTAGTTTTTCTTTCCCTAGCATAAACTTTATTATACAAATACATATGAATACGTTAACATTATAACTTACCATAAAAATATAAGAAACTGAGCGGAAACAGAGATTATTATATTTTTATAATGTTTCTTTTGTAAAATTGGAGAAAACTGAAATCTATTCTTGGGTACAGTAGTTTTCTGTACGTCATTTTTATCACCAAGACATGATAAATATTTTAAATCTTTAATCTAAAAAGAAATATATGTTATAATTTAAACTGAATGTTTTCTATAATGTGAACGAAAACGTGGATGAATTGGAACACATTTGTAAATATATTATAATATAAATAAACATAGATGACTAAATGTAAATAAAAATCGTAACAAAATTATTGATGTCAAATTTCAATGAATTTATCTAAACTGAAAGAAAGAATCCATTACCTAATAGCATTAATGTGCATAAAGGAGCAATACCGAATAGATCGTTTAACAATTGAAGTGGATATATTAGTCCACTGGTAAAAAATTGTATTTAAAAAATTGTAAAAATTGTGTTTTAGCTAACAGTTATTTGTAACATATATAGAAATAGGCATTAGAAATCTTGAGTCAGATTAAAAATTTTGTACTTGTGAGCCTATGCCAGTTGTATAACTGTAATTACAATTAGCCAATCGCTTACATTGTTTGAACCGGCTGTACTGTTTGTTATTTGAGTGATAAAAACACCAAGTTTATTGCAAATAATTGACATTATGGATCTTCATGTGCATATTAGACCATGTGAAAATGGAAAGAAATGAAGAAAATGGTAAGAAGTAAGAGGGTATCTAGTAACTAGATAGGTTCAGGACTTATTGTCAATATTTTTAGGCCTAAACCTAAAGATTTAATCGGGTTTTCCGTCTGTAATCATACAAAGAATGTGTATTGTTGTACAGATTTAAAGATTTAAGACCTTCAGCGTTTCCATAATAATATGTATTCAACCACTGACAAAAATAAGATATTTTTTTGCTGAATCTTTAAAAGCTCAAGAGATCAAGTACAAACCTACATGGGATTTAAATTAAATGATTTGTTCCTACAGTAGAAGATAGACTGTTAAGAGTATGCGAGAGAGCATTTCTTGGAATAACTCAATCTGAAAGAATAAAGCGTGCTGTAAGAAGTTTGTTATCCGGAGTACAATACCAAAAGAGAGAAAAGGGGGAGATACAACAAAAGGTAGATTTTATCCAATAAAATTATCTATCCAAATATTTATGGATCGTTTAAACGGTCCAGAGAGTCATTATAATAGAGGATGATCAACTAAATTGTATTTACCCTGTGATCTAAATTTTACTAAGCGGTACATCAGGCCTCCTCCTCCTCAATCCTTTAGCCCTTGTCAGGGCGTAGTGACACCCTAAATATTATTAGTCTGCTGTCTCCATTGACTGCGATCTTGTGATATATGGACAGCTTCATGTAGGGATTTTCCCACCAAACTCTTCATTTGGTCCACCCATCGTATTGGAGATCTTCCTCTTGGTCTTCGGCCTTCTACCTTACCTTCTACTACCAATAGTTCCATGGTGCCCACTGCCCGTTCTTCTAGCTATGTGGCCGAAGTAAGTTAGGTATGCTTGGTTTACTTTTTTTTAGTAGCCTGTCTTTTATATGAAGCTCTTCCAGAATTGACAGGTTGGTTCTACGTTCTGTCCAGTACACGCGTAGAATTCTTCTATATACCCACATTTCGAAGGCTTCGATCTTACTCCTATCAATTTTTTTGAGAGTCCATGTTTCAGCTGCATATGTAGCAATGGAAAAAATAAGGGCATTGACCAACCTAAGCTTAGTATTCCTTGTTATTGTTCGGTCTTTCAATATTTTTAATTAATTTAGCAGTTGCGGTTCGGGCCATTCCTAGTCTACGTTTGATTTCTGAGGAACAATCACCATTGTTGGTTATCAGAGAGCCCAAGTATACAAATCTGTCGACTACTTCGAAAATCCCTATTTGGCGTATATGCGGTAGATTATTATTTGCTCTGTCTACAATCATTATTTTTGTTTTTCTGGTGTTGATTTGAAGTCCGAATTCTTCACTTATTCGGCTTAGCCGTTCGATGATGGTAATCATTTCGACTTCATTCGCTGCTAGTATAAGTGTGTCATCTGCGTATCGCAGGTTACTGATTTTTCTGCCTCCTATAGTGATTCCTCCATCCCATTCATCTAGTACTTTTCTCATTATATATTCAGAATATATGTTGTACAATAATGGTGATAGTATGCAACCTTGTCTAGTTCCTTTCTCTGTTTTGAATGCATTTGAATATATTCCATGTACTTTAACTTTGGCTGAGTTTTTATTATACAGATTTCTTATTAGGTTAACTAGGTGGTTAGGTACTCCCATATTTTCCATTATACTCCAGAGAGGATCCCATTTTACTGAATCAAAAGCCTTTGTGTAATCTACAAAACAGAGCAACATTGGTATGTTATGTTCTCTCGCTTTTTCTACTATCTGTCTGGTGTTGAGTATTTGCTCACGCGTTCCCTTTCCTGGTACAAATCCACATTGTTCTTCGGCTATCTCTGGAAGTAGAAAGTTCTTTAGCCGTTCATTGATTATATGTAGCAGGTATTACCAGAATACAGATTACATCAGGCACCCCTTTAATAAATGCTTGTTCTGAGTGTCTCAGAACAAAAGAAATTTTAAGAAATGAACATTCAGAAGAAGAAAAGATAAAGGTTATAACAGAGCAGAGAATTTATACGTTAAAAGCTAAAGTCTTTTGGTCTTTGTTAAAAAACGAACCAAATCATGATAAAAAAACATTCGAAATTCAAAACCCCATCTTTCTTCTGCAATTATGACGTCATATGGTGGCTGAAGTATGAACATCCAAAAGATTTAAATGCTGTTGAATCTGCTGTACACGACACTCTCATAAAATTCAACTTTAAAAATCAAATCGAAAAAGTTCACCTCTTTGCAGTTGGATGTGTGATGGACAGAACAAAAATAGCACGATACTATCTATGATAATCTACTGTTTGGTATATGAAGCACCTGGTCACATCAAGGAAGTAAATTTTACGTTTATTGTTGTTGGTCATTCCTTTTTGGGACCAGATAGGATTTTTGGTATGATAGAAAGGGAGATAAAAAAAGAAAAACGTTGTAATAAACAGAAAAGGATATGAAGATATAATTGGATAATACTCAAAGGTGCTGAGACTTGGTGAAGACTGATAGATATCAGACTGGAGAAAGATAAGTGATGTTGTTGTTAAAAAACCTTTCCAGTGGCATTTTAAATGTAATGCATCAAAAAGATTTATATTTTCTAACGACAAAGTTCATATGGCTACGGTACAGGAAAAAATATTTTATTGTTCTGACATAAGTTCAGCAAGTCTATAATACGCAAAGGGAAAAAGATTTCTCTATTGAAACCTAAGTTACAGCATATTGGATGTTCATTTAAAGAAAATAAATCGTCCGTAGACACACTCCTTAGAAAACATTTGGCTGAAAATTGGAAACCAACCCGATCACATATTTTATAAAATAATTGATACTGGCATACAGACAAATAATACGGAGAGTGCTGAAGAAAATGATCATAACAATGATGAGGAGCTGAAGGAACTTAGAGTTTAGAAATTATTATAAATATATATACATAAATTGTAAGACCTTTTGTACGCTAGATAATAATATACTGTTAAATAAAAGTTTGCTTCCACATGCTTACTTTTTTATTCGTAACTCACTAAGTTTTAAAAATAGACTGATCCAAAAACCACTATTGACTATTATTATGTATTTGCAAATGTTATAGTCCTTTTCCATCATATTGATAGCACATTATGTATGCAAATTCTCAACAGGTCAAAAAACCATAGGCGTCACCCCATACTTGTTTTGAAATAAATAAAAAAAAAATATTTTAAGATGCCGTCAACAATTCATTATCTTTTAAAAAATCTTCTATAAAATAAGTGTCCACTAATCTCACTATACCTTTTTTGTGCGTAGAAAACGTCGGTATATATGCCACACGATTATTGTTAATTATACACGGGTGATTAACGAGAGAATTCAATGTTTCACGAAATAAATTAATGTAAACAGTAATTTAAAGGTGATTATTGTTTTCTGTATATTCTGTATATTTTCTGTATATAGTATTCTTCGTTGAATAATTACCTGGAATTACTGATAAGGCTTCACTTAAACCGATAGTTTAAGTAGCTTTCATACCATATTACAGCTTATGCCAATAATATAAATGAGAAATTGTTTGCATCTTCCATTTAGTTTGTAGATGTACATTGTTCATATCTTACTTACCTACGTTTTTTGGTGTCGATATTTTGTTATTTGCATTTAAAAATGACGTCGACAACAGGTTTTATCCCGATTAAGTGTAGTTTTAAAGGTGCCTTTAGTCTAAGAGAGAAAAATTTAATATTAAATGTACACGATGCACTTGTACAGCAACGCCCTTTAAGTAATGTTCGTGAAATTGTTAACATGTGTTCAAATATGGCAGGGGTTGGAAAAGCAACAATTTATAGATTCCTAAAAGAAAGCAAAGGAGGAACTGTTTTATCCCCCAAGAAGAGTGGAGGGAGTAAACCCTTCGAAATTGAAGAAGTACTAAAAACATGACAAGACGCAGCGTCCAATCACTTTTTTTAACAAAGAATTTCCAACATTGGACAAAATCCAAACATTAATTGGAGAAAACGAAGAGCTAGCAATCAGAAGCAACAAGAAATTATGGGGACTATTGAGAGAGATGGGATTTCGTTGGCAAAAGAATAGAAGAAAATCCGTTTTAATTGAAAAAAATTACATTGTATGTTGGAGACGAGATTATCTAAGAACTATTAAAAAGTACCGAGAAGAAGGGAAAACAATTTTTTATTTGGACGAGACTTGGCAAATTGAAGGTCATACTGTACCATATATATGGGTTGATACAAATGTGAAAAGTTCCCGTCAGGAATGTATCGAAAGTGTATCTACTGGAATAAACAATATTCCCGTTGGAAAAGGACGCAAACTCATAATAACCCATATTGGAAACGAATACGGTTTTGTCAATGGTGGATTATTAAGTTTTGCCTCAAAGTCAACCAAAGATTACCACGAGGAAATGACTGCTGACGTTTTTGAAGAATATTTTTAGCAAATGTTGAATTTAATTCCAAAAAATTCTGTCACGGTCATGGATAATGCTAGTTACCATTCAAGACTAGCAGAAAAATTGCCAACAACGGCATGGAAAAAAGGAGAGGTAATCGAATGGTTGGATAAACATGCAATTGAGTACAAGGAGAATTCGACAAAAAAGGAATTATAACCTATTATAAGGCAACATAAAGCAGCTTAATATTGTTCTGAAGCTATTTTCTTGTGGCTTTGTAAATTAATTACTATTTATAACTGGGAATAAGCCACAATTAAAGATAAAAATACGTTTTATTGACGTTTCAATTTCCAATTCGGAAATCGTTCTCAAAATACAAACAGTAAATTAAACAAATTTTGTTTTTTGTTACATAGTGAAAAAATTCTTCTAATAATTTAATTTTATCTGACTCATTTATATTGACAATTCAGACATACATTATGCATTTTAAAGTAGACGACTTTAAAATGATATTGCCAATATTGTTGAGTTGCGCTCCTGGGACGACTTTACTTATAAGATAGTTCATTCGATTACATGAAATCAACGTTAACTTGAGAATATCCGTCAGAAAAAATCATACCATGTAATTCGTCTTTAAAAAGACAAACACATGACATGATGACAGTAAAATTCTCCTGTTAGTGATTCCATAGTAAATTATGAGGGAAAAACCAGGAAAAAAACCTCATAATACTATCCCGACATTGTAAGTATTTGTTCGTGAATTTAGTTTACCTTCAACAAACATCAAAATTCTGATTTTATATGTTACGTTATTTAAAAAACATAAATGATATATCCGCTATATGTTACTGACTTACTAATACTGGTATTTTCTTATTAATAACTTCCTCTTTCAATATTGGTAACCAGATCCTATTTTGTCCAAAACCAAACCTAACAATGAACAAGAAAGGACAAAGAATTGCATTTATAAAATACCTTGTGAATGCGATCAGTTTTATTTAGGTGAATCATCAAGGCCATTAAATGTTAGAATAAGTGAACATCAATCTTATATTACAAATAGAGAATTTGATAGATCTCAAATATGTAAACACGCATGGGATAATGAACATAGGGTTCAATGGAATAATTCAAATATAGTCCTAAAAGAAACGGATGGCAAAAAAAGAAAAATCAAAGAAGCGGCTCTAATTATGCTAAATGAGGCCAATTGTGTCGCAAATTCCTCGGCAGAATGTAGTAGGATCTGGTTACCAATATTGAAAGAGGAAGTTATTAATAAGAAAATACCAGTATTAGTAAGTCAGTAACATATAGCGGATATATCATTTATGTTTTTTAAATAACGTAACATATAAAATCAGAATTTTGATGTTTGTTGAAGGTAAACTAAATTCACGAACAAATACTTACAATGTCGGGATAGTATTATGAGGTTTTTTTTCCCTGGTTTTTCCCTCATAATTTACTATGGAATCACTAACAGGAGAATTTTACTGTCATCATGTCATGTGTTTGTCTTTTTAAAGACGAATTACATGGTATGATTTTTTCTGACGGATATTCTCAAGTTAACGTTGATTTCATGTAATCGAATGAACTATCTTATAAGTAAAGTCGTCCCAGGAGCGCAACTCAACAATATTGGCAATATCATTTTAAAGTCGTCTACTTTAAAATGCATAATGTATGTCTGAATTGTCAATATAAATGAGTCAGATAAAATTAAATTATTAGAAGAATTTTTTCACTATGTAACAAAAAACAAAATTTGTTTAATTTACTGTTTGTATTTTGAGAACGATTTCCGAATTGGAAATTGAAACGTCAATAAACGTATTTTTATCTTTAATTGTGGCTTATTCCCAGTTATAAATAGTAATTAATAAAGCAGCTTATAAAAATATATAATTGATGAAATGGCATTAAAACGTGATGTAATTATTTTACGTTTACCCCCATACCACTGTGATCTGAATCCGGTAGAAAATATATTCTCTCAAGTAAAGGGTGAAGTCATATACAACAACAAAACTTTTAAATTAGAAGACTTACAACAATTATTAGAACATTCCTTATCAAAAGTAACTCCATAAAATTGTAAAAATGCTGTTAGTCATGCTCACAAGAAAGAAAGTAAAATGAGTTGAAGATTCTTAGATTCTGAAGAAAGCAGTGAATCTGAAATGGAATTTGATTAAAATGATATGCATTTTTTTACAAATCGACCCCTGTTACGGTCACAAATTATTTTATATATAACCAATAAAATAAACATCTTACATTTCTTGCAAATTCATTAGTACCTGTTAATCTCCATCACTTCGACACTGGCAACTTTATTTAGGGATTAGTAACACTCAAAACTATTGTATTCTATTCTGCTTCAACCTTTATACCTTGTGGTCATACTCAATTTAAAATTGTTTTCCTATATACTTCTGTAAACTTGTTGACAAATATCTATTTTTCATTGAGTCACCCGTATCAACAGTTTAGGGATTTGCATACATAATGTGCTATCAATATGATGGAAATGGACTATAATAGTTGCAAAAAGTTGCAAAACTCCGTTCAATTTTTTTTTCCTTTCCTAGCAAACACAATAAGATTCTTAGAAAAAAATCATTATATTATGCTTAATAAAGCATTTATTATCACAAAATTTACCAGTTTTTTGCAAATAACTCAGTTTGATTTATGCGGCAAATACAAAGTTTTTCATCTGACATACTCATTTTTATTTTTCGTAATTTTTCATACCAAGGATTTTGATTTAGTTGTAATGGATATAGCTCTATATAAAAATTAAAAACATGTAGCTTTTTACATGCCACTTTTTCTTCATTAGTTTTTTACTTTTTATTAAATAAAAATCTGGTTTAATATATAATTTAATATAAATTTTAGCAACTTTATCGGTATTGTTTCAATAACTTAATTTAGTTTACATAAAATTTATGTTAGAGTAATATGCCTTTAAGTTTAGAGACTGCACAACTTGTACAATGTACACCTAATGCGTTGGAGACGGAAAGGTTTATCCTAAGTAGAAATTGCTTTGCGATTGAATGTGTCTTAGAGGATTATGTGAATTTTAATCATGGTTGCATCACCCATTAAAATTACTTATTAATTAAAATAATAACTTACTGGATAATCGGTGACTGGGTTTTTGGTGTTAATTGTATAAATAGACTGAAATGACTTAAGAGCCCTGTCGTGTTCTTTCTTGCTCACCAGGTATTTTGGACTTTCTGGAAGCCACATAAATCCAATGCCTCCTATTAATGGGGGAATACAGCATAACAACAAGTAAAAGTTCCACGAATGAAATACTAAAAAAAAACAGGGTGATTTTCTTTAGGGTGCAAATTAAACGTTTTACAGACATTTTACGTAATTATTATCAGGAAATTTAGGATATGGAATACTTAGAAATTGGGTTTTTAGAACAACAACATTATTAACAACACTATAATTTTTTTATATTTCATTTATAATTCCATCATTTTTATGAAGCTTTCTCTATACATAATCTCATTACTTTCCGGGATATTTTTGGGGTTTTCAAATATCGGGAATACCTTCGACTTTTGCAAGTAGAAATAACTTAGTCTTGTTTAATATTATAACAAAATTATTTTTATTTAATACATAACTATTAAATCTAAACTAAATGTTTAAAACGTCTACCTAAAACTTCTATGCAAGTCTGTAGCCATTACCAAATGACCTAGCCATATTTCTTAACATTTGTGAGTAAATATTGTTAAAAGGTTCTCTTTTTTATATCATCTGGCGTTATTGGAGGCTTCTACGACACTAGTCCCTCGTGAGAAAATCAGTTGTTGACAATTCCGGTGATTGCGGTGGCCAAACAGTTGGTCCTCCTTGGCCTATCCACCTCGCAGGAAAGTTATTATTTAGATGATTCTAAATAAGAGTAGTGTGAAGAACTGGAACACCATCGTGTAAAAACCACATTCTTTGTCCAATATTAAGTGGAACATTTTGCTGTACTAATGACAAAAAAAATTATTGACAAAATCTAAATATATAACACTATCCATACAGCCCTCAAATAAATGAGGGCCACACAGAGAGTCCTTAACAATACCACCCCACATAACCACCTACTTTGACTATGACTGTTTAAAGTGGGGATTACTTGATCCATAGTAATATAAATTATGCCGATGCACTGTTCCATTTTTGTGAAATGTAGCCTAATCTTCAAAGAGCACATAATTGTAAAAAATCTATCGCTATGCACTTGCTGCTGACATCATTAACAAAAAAGTTATCAGCGATGATATAATCATCGACTGTCAATTCTTGATATTAAATAAGATATGGTTGAATGCTTGAGTACATGAGTTCTACATATAAAAAGCAAATATTGAGCACAGTTATTTATTAAATCTTGCCCAAATACTTCAGCCCATCCAAGAATGTCAAACATTTACATACATTTCTACAAACAACAGACACCAGACAAAAGCACAAACAGTTGACCTTTGTCCATAGGTTGAATGTTCCTTAATCCAAACGAATTTAACATCATATGATAGGGCAGATAATTTTAGTAACTGTTTTTTAAAAAAAATTTTAATATGAATATCTTCTTCTTCTTCGCGTGCCATATCAGATTTATCCGACGTCGGCGATCACCAATGCGAAGGCTTCTCGATCTTCTCCAATATGGAATAATTGTCCTGCATTTGGTATCTAAGTCCACTCACGAATGTTTTTTTAACCAAGAAACTTGTTTTCTTCCAACACCTCTACGGCTTTTAAGGATCAGTTGTAAAATTTTATATCGACTTTCCCTTACTATGGCCCAGATAAGACATTTTTCGATGTTTAATCGTCTTTAGCAGTTCTCTATCTTTGTTGAAGCTCCTTAGTACTTCTTCATTAGTTTTTTTTTGATGTTCAAGGTATTTTCAGCGTTCGTCTATGAAGCCACATTCCCAATTTATCAATTTTGTTCATGATCGATACTTTTAGCGTCCACACTTCTGCACTATACAAAAGTACAGTCCAAACATAGCATTAAACCATTCTTTGTCTTAGATCTAAACTGAGATGGCAAATAAATCACTTCATTTTCATAAAAATAGTTTTAATCATTGCTATTCTACGTTTTATTTCTGTCTCGATCTAGTTGATCCGTTATCACAGTTCTCAAATATGTCATTTTGTGAACTTTCAACTTGGACTCCGTTCAATTGAAGCTTTGCATCGGGATGTGGGTCACGACAAAACACTAAAAATTTGGTTTTGTTTGAGTTTATTTTAATGCCCATTTCCTCTCCTACCTCGTGAATACGATCAAGCAGAATTTGAAGACCTTTAATATTATCTGATATAATTACTGTATCGTCTGCATATCTAATCACATTAAATATTTTTCCGTTGATTTTTATTCCATATGGTTGTCTCTGAAGTGCCTTTTTAAAAAACTGGTCCGAGTAAAATTTGAACAATGTTGGCGACAAAATGCAACCTTGTCTGACTCCTCGTTGTATGGGATTTCATCGGTGTAGTTATCTCCAATTTTTATGATAGCAGTTTGATTCCAGTACAAATTTTTAATGACATGACTATCCTTGTCATCTATTCCGATATTTTTCAGTATTTGCATTAATTTTACATGCTGTACTTTATCGAATGCCTTTTCGAAGTCCACGAAACATGCAAATACATCTTTTCTTTGGTCACGGCATTTTTGTAATACGATGTTAAGCGCGAAAAGGTCCTACCTGGTTCCCATAGCATTTCTAAAACCAAATTGGGTATCTTCAAGATCTTCTTCGCATTTGCGTCTAATTCTGTTGTGAAGTATTCTGAGAAAAATTTAAGAGTGTGGCTCATTAGCATAATTAATCAATATTCCGAGCACTTTATCGCATTGCGTTGTTTAGGTATTGCGATAAAGATGGATTTGAGCCAATCTGCGGGAATCACTCCGGTGTTATATATTGAATTAACAGGTCTTACTACTACTTTTATGTAATCATTCTTTATTAGTTTCAGCAACTCAGTTGGTGTATCATCTGGACCACAAGCTTTTCTATTTTTAGCATTATTTATAGCATGTTCTACTTCGTATTTCATAATTTATGGGCCGTCAGTACAGTTTTGGTATAATTCGGCAATATTATTCCTGTCATCTTCAAACAACTCTGATATATACAGCTGCCATTCTTTTCTTATTTCTTGCCTTCCGTTTTTCGATTACCTGCTGCAGTAAGAATGTACCATCAGTGCATGATCTTCCTGAACGAAATCCATTTTATTCTTCTATGAATTCGTATTCTGATTCTATTCTTTCTTTTATTATTCGACCGTACAATCTCCTAACTGAGCTGATAAAAGTTATTCCCCTATAATTAGGGCATTTATGTTTATCCCCTGTTTTAAATATTGAGGTGATGTATCCAATATTCCAATCGTCAGGGATATTTTCAAAAATATTAACTTAAGTTAGATTTTTCCTTTTCTTCTCTTCGGAGAGACTGTATCACCTGTCAAGCTTGCCCAACTCTTGTTCCACCCATATACCTATCCACCTCTGCACATATTCGATCCCACATCTCATTTTTACTTTTCACTACTTCTCTTTTTACATCTCGATTTAATTTTTGATATATCTTGAAATCTTCCTCCTTTCTCGTTGACATCCATTTCTGATAAGCAGTTTTCTTCTTGTTGACTAACGTTTGCATATTCTCCGACCACCACTCTTGATTTTTTGTTTCATGTTTGTGTTTATAACGCAAAGCTTCACTTGCAGTCTCATGAATGCATTTTTTAAGTTGCTGGTATAATTCTTCTGCTGTTATATTTTCTCGATCCACATTTTGTAATTTTGTGGCCAGTCGTAATTTGTAAAGAAATTTTGTTGAATCTTCTTTTAAGCTTTCTAGGTTATATTTAGGAGATGTTACTTTTTGTCCCTTTTCTATATTCTGTACCTGAGTGTTATTGTTTTTGCGATAGTTAACTATCACGTTAGCCATCATAGTTAACTATGACGCTGTTTTCTAAATATTGTATAAGTATATATTTTGCAGGTTTAAAGTAATAGCTTACCAACGGCATCATACAATAATATAGTGTCACGGTTTGTTAAAATTAGGAGAGCAAATAGAGGCAACAAAATATCTCCAAGTCCATAAACACTTCCCAACAATAACTGCACCACAGCTCTATGTTTTACTACGTGTACTTCTGTCAGGTAGGATGCTAAACTTGGATAAATACCACTGGATCTAAAAATAACAGTAATATTAGCAAGTTAAATCTAGTGACAAAAACTAGAGTTTGATTGATACCCTACGTAAATCATTAAAATAAGTATTTTCTTCGGATTCTATTGTTTTATTTAAATGCATGCATTGTTTTTATGCAGCTATTAAGGAAAAATTAAAAATAAAGGCATATTGGAATGTTTTAATGTTTTGAACATAACTTCCACTAAATTTTAATTCTGCTGTATGAAGATACATATTTCTATTCCATTCCTTAAACCGTTTATATTTTGTAAAACTACACCGTAGGTTCAAGTTTCTGAATAATTTAGAATAATTTACGACTTATTTGTTATTTAAAAATTATGTATTACTTTAGGCGTATAATCAGTTTTGATTCTAAATATAACGAATATAAAAACACCAAGATTTGAGGCCGATTTGTATTGGCATCCAAAAAAGGTACATGTTAAGTGATCAAGGCGTCTTCTTAAATACAGTTTAGTGCTGAAAACTCATATTCGTAATCCTTCTCCTCCTAAGTGCTTTCTCTATTGAGGTTGACGATCAATATGGCAAATTTCTCTCTGTTCTGGGCTTGATGGAGTAAATCATTTCCTGTTGTGTGAGTCCAATCTCTGATGTTTCGGAGCCAGGATTTCTTCTTTCTTCTTATAGCCCTTTTACCCTCGATTTTGCCTTATAATATTACCTGGAGCTGCTCAAATTCCTTATGGCGCATTATGTGTCCTAGATATGACGTCTTTCTAATTTTAATTGTATTAACCAGATGAGGTCGTGTGTTCATTATTTCCAGTACCTCTTCATTTGTAGTTTTGCTGGTCCAGCTTATTCTTAGCATTCGGCGGTACATCCACATTTCGAATGAATTCAGTTTGTTGATGTCATACTGTTTTAATGTCCAGGTCTCACAACCATATAGTAGTAGAGACCACACATAACACTTTACTGTTCTTAACCTTATTGTAATTGATAGGTTGGGGTTACAGAGCATTTTAAGCATGTTCATGAAGCCAGATCTTGCTATTTCAATACGACTTGAGTGGTCTAGCTGACTGTTTAGCTCTCTGCCCAGGTATATAAAGCTTTGGGAGCTCTGAAGGGTGATACCATTGATTTGTATGTTGGGTGTAATTTGTTCATGGGGGTTCTTGTGGAATACCATGATTTTGGTTTTGAAAAGATTAATATCCAAACCTAGTCTGTGACTTTCTTCTGATGGTATATTCATCAATATTTTTAGTTGGTCTTCTGTTTCTGCTAATACTACGGTGTCATCGGCATATCTTACATTGTTAATGATGATTCCATTGACTCTGGCACCTTCAGAGCGATCTTCAAGAGAAGCTCTGATGATATTTTCGGCATAGACATTAAATAGAAGAGGGACAGAATGCACCCTTGACGCACTCCTCGTTCTATGTTTACATAATTGGTATTTCCGTTGTCTGTTCGAACACATCCTGTTTGGTTCCAGTATGTATTGCTTATTATAGCTATGTCGTGTCCGTCCAGCCCTACTTCTTTAGCACCTCAATCAATTTTTCGTGTCTAATGCAGTCGAAGCCCTTTCTATAATCGACAAAGCACACATACAGTTGTTTTTGAACCTCGAGGTACCTTTCTGCCATTAGTGTCAATCCCATTATTGCTTCTCTGGTGTCTATACCTTTCCTAAAACCATATTGAGAACGACTCAGGTATTCTTCACACCTTATATTCGTAATAAGTTTTTGTATTTTGTTGTTGGACAATTTGGATGTAATTATAATTTCAAATAATTTCTAATTCCCTGTGTCCGATTCTTTTCGATTTACGATAATAAGTCGTGGAGTAAAATATAGTTTTATTGACATCTACTGAATTATTACAATATAGTTGTTGTTGAGGTAAAAATTTATACAATAGACTGCGTCCCAAACTAGTCCCGAAGCTATATTTATAATCTCACTAAAATGCTACGATTCATAAAGTAAGTGCATTGCTCTCTGCATACAACAAAAACCTTTGACTATTGAAAGCTTGCAATATAGTTTAAACCGAGAAAAGGATTGTGTTGTATGTATATGCCTATTTTTGACCTCTGAACTTCTAAATAAAATTTAAAGACCATTTCACGATAGATATATCCAGTTAAATTAGAAATATATGTGTATAGTTTTACGGCCAAGTGTTATTATTTCTTTAGTGTGTATCTTTTACTTCGGAAATCGTTCATTTTTACATTTAAAACATTTGAGATCAAATTCTCTATTTTTAATATAATATTGATGTTCACTTATTCTAACCTTTAATCGCCTTGATGTTTCACCTAAATAAAACAGATCGCATTCAGAAGGTATTTAATAAATTCAATTCTTTGTTCTTTCTTATACATTGTTAGGTTTATTTCTAGATAAAATAGATCTAAATGTGTTTATTGTTTTGAATACTGTTTTTTGTGTGTTAAAATGTTAAAATTATTTCCCATCTTCTCAAGATTTTCTAATTATCCTTTTGTGTATGTATTATTATTTCCTCGTAGTATTCCTTGTATATACTGTATGATCTCGTTTTGTTTTTCTGTTCTATTTGGTCGATTGTTGAAAGTTCCTTATTTATAAACGATAAAGGATAATCATTTTTTAATAAAAAAACAGATGTTAACAAATGTTTCTCCTCCAAGAACGAATTTTCGTTAGAACAAATAATTTTGGCTCTATCGTATAAGGATTTAATGATTTTCATTTTATTATTATTATTGTGATATCTGATATATATTTGTAGTTTAAATATCTGTTAGTTTGTGTTGGTTTTCTATACACCTAAGTATTATATCCAGTATCGTTCTTATAGATTAAATCATCCAGGAAAGATAGTGTCTTATTATATTACTTTTCTATGGTAAATGTTATTGTTTATTCTTTATCGTTTATGTCATTCAGGAATATGTCTAACAACTCTAATCCGTAAGGTCATATTGAGAATATGACCTTACAAAACAGAAAACTGTGGGTTTTAAATTTTGTTTGGAAAAATAATATTTGTTTTAAAATCTTCCATAAATTTATCGGCTTATAATGGAGATAAAATAAAGCTATTGGAGATAATATAAAGCTATTGTTCTAGTTGCCAATATAATAATATTATCACAAATTTTGTCTTGATTATATAAAAGTCTTATCTAATGGCACATTTGTAAATAAAATATTTATGTTAAAACTTAATAAAAGATTTTTTGAATTAAATTCGATAATTTATCATTTACCAAAGATACATGACAAGATTACATTAAGATAGTTTATTTACCAAAAACTTCGAAAACCGAAGGTTTCTAAGCGTTCAAAATCAAATTAACAATATTAACTAAATCTGTACCCTCTAAGCACTTCACCTTATAACTAACTTTTCTAAATGATAGTTATTTGTACTCGTAATTACACAATTTCTTACATGAACTGAGATATAATAGTATATTAGTTTATGAGGCGGAGAAGCATGACTTTTCTTGACGCGCCCGATATTACGCGCCGAACGAAGTGAGGCGCGTAATAGAGGACAAGTCAAGAAAAGTCGCTTCTTTGCCGAATAAAGTATACTATTTTTTCTTCAAACGTAGCAATTTTCAACCATAAATAGTACAATTCATACGCTATTTTTACTCGAAATTAACTGTGACAACTATCAGAGTCGTCTAGATGTTAGGAATTAAAATAATTAAGTCATCGGTGGAATTTGCGTCTCCCTGGTTACAGTTGTTTGACAGTTGTTTGCAATTATTAAAGACAGCTTATTATTGTTGCAACCGCAAGCGCAAATTTTGTGCAAAAATGGAAAACCTAAACGAAATTGAGTCCGCGGCTAATGATACAGTAGCACGTTTGGGGCCCTCCAAGTCCGATAAGAACGATAATGCTCAAAAAATTTTAAACCCTCATGATTCGCCAACATCGGGAATGATTGCTGAAAGTTGTTCTCGACCATCAGTATCATCAACAATTACCAATGCGTATCAAGAGTCGAGAACATTTTTGCACGGTTTCAATTTTGAAAATGCCTCATTAACTAATGGTAGTTTTAATATTACTATAAATAAAAATGATGTTTAACTGTTGTTATTGACATTTGTATTGTTGCTTTGTGACATGTTTCATATTGTTGCCATGACAACAGTTTTCCCTCCGCCGCCCGTAAAGAAATGGGAAAAAAACTGCTGCCAGCGGAGACATCAAACTTTGACAGGATCAAGTTAGATAAGTAATGTCATCATTATTTGACGTTTGAAGAAAAAATAATTTAAAGTATTGTTTAAATAAATTATGTTAACATTTCCCTCTGGTTAACCTTTCACTCCAGTATATTTAAAATTAATGATTTAATAAAAAACCTATAATAATATTTTTTCTTCAAACGTCAAATAATGATGACATTACTTGATCCTTGATCACTCCGCCGGCAGCAGTTTTTTTCCCCCATTTCTTCACGGCGCGGCGCGGCGGAGGGAAAAAATGTTGTCATGGCAACAATATGAATCATGTCACAAAGCAACAATACAAATGTCATTAACAACAATTAAACATCATTTTTATTTATAGTAATATTAAAAGTACAATTAGTTAATGAGGCATTTTCAAAATTGAAACCGTGCAAAAATGTTCCTGACTCTTGATACGCATTGGTAATTGTTGATGATACTGATGGTCGAGAACAACTTTCAGCAATCATTCCCGATGTTGGCGGCTTGCGAACAATAATAAGCTGTCTTTAATAATTGCAAACAACTGTCAAACAACTGTAACCAGGGAGACGCAAATCCCACCGACGACTTAATTATTTTAATTTCTAACATCTAGACGGCTTGATAGTTGTCACAGTTAATTTCGAGTAAAAATAGCGTATGAATTGTACTATTTATAGTATACAAACATATATATAGTATAGTATATAACATATAAAATAGTATACTTTATTCGGCAAAGAAGCGACTTTTCTTGACTTGTCCTTTATTACGCGCCTCACTTCGTTCAGCGCGTAATATCGGGCGCGTCAAGAAAAGTCATGCTTCTCCGCCTCATAAAGTAATATACTATTAAGCTCACGCATGGCCAAATTAAATATAAAAAATTTGAACTGTAGTTTACTAAAGAGCATTTTTATAAATAATATAAAACCTACGCCATACCACCTAGAAGTCGAAACGTTAACAGCACTGCAAAAGACTGAGATGACGCTGCAACTAACATGAAACAAAAGTCCATAATACACATAACAATAACTAATTTTCTTCTACCAAAGCTATCTCCCAGAGATCCCCATAAAAATGAAGTCAACATCATTCCTAAAAATAAGAAATTGAGTTAATTCATAAAATATATACTATTGTTATTCCGACAATTAACATTTTTGATATTTTAAAATATTAATAAAAATAAAATATATGGTGTGAAAAAAGCCATCTAAAATATCCACTAAAAAATCGAAAAGACGAAGAGAATATGCTATACGAAGAGAACAGCACGTTAGTTTCTTACGTGCCTAAGAAAAACAAGACTGTCATATTGTTAGTAACTAAGATTTATCATATTCCCTTGTAGAAGATGAAGATTATTTGAAACAAAGAATGACCAATACGCGCCTCCCAAGAGAAATTAGGACCAATATTCGTAAATTTCTAAATTGCGAAGAAGAAAAAGAAACTGCTCAAAAGATAAATGATTTATTAGGCCCATGTGACTTATGTCCCCAAAAAAGAACAGAAAGGCTCGAAATAAATGTGAACATTGCCATAAAAGTGCCGAACGCCGAACATAGCATTAGCATTTGTGTAGATTGTAAATTACTTTTTTTGTAAAAATTTTATCAACTTTTTTATTTGACCAGTTTTAACACACTTTTTGATAAAAGCGCTTGGTGACATTGCCCCGTGACTGTATATAAGATTGTTACATAAGAATTAGGTATTTTCATTATGTTTACATGCTATTTTTAAAAGATAATCAACAATTCTAAAGTAACATATTATACCTGCTGAAGGAACTGCATTTAAAACAGCCTTTTCTTTAATTCCTAGACCAAGATCACATTCTGCAGCAGGAACAACGTATGGCATCACTCTCCCTTCGAACACACATATGAGTCCAGTAAATATGGCAATTACAACTACGTATGCGTTGAATCTTCCACATCCTGAAGCTGAGAGTGCTTCTTCACAATCAAATTCTAAAACAAAAATTTTATTAGATGAATTAATTAAAGAAAAATTTGTTAAATCAAACTTTATGTATGCAGCACAAAATTAACAAAAGCTTTAATAATATTAGATGCTTTATGATAAAATAATAATATCTAGCTCAGTCGTACAAATGCTTATTTCCGCATTTACATATATTAATTTTCAAGGAATAATTATTTATAAAAAATTTTTAAAATAAAAAAAAAATTATAATACACTTTTAGGTTACACTGATGATGAAATATCGATTCTAAAAATGTTTTGTAATTGTGATATCGCCAGATTGGGTGTTTTAGTTACATACCTTTTATAAAGGATTTAAAAACAAAAAAAAATTGTGATACAAGGTATACAGCCAGCTACAGGAACTTAGTTTCCTAGTGGATTTTGAATTATTTATAAATCTCTGAGAACAAGAAAGTCTCCGAGATCAGCCAATGTTCCCACGGAGCTTTTAAAATATTGTAAAGGCAAGCAAGGGTTCTTTAAAAGAAAACAGATAAGCAACCAGGATTTAGAGCTGGACAATCCACCATATATTATTTATTCTTAATCCCTAAAATAATTGATAAAATAGTGGAAAGAAGTCACAACTCACCTCGTTTATGCGGAATTTATACCACATCTATAAAAACTGTCCAAAAACTGTACCAAAATAATACCGTTACAATAAAATCAAAAGAGTCTCTTTAAAAATGTTTTAAGATCAGCAAAGGACTAAAGCAAAGATGCTGTTTTTCAACGGCGCTCTTTAAAGTCCATTTCAAGAACAACTAGAAGCAAAGAAAGAAGAGCAATTCTTTTACTTAAGCCTTAAGTAATCTAATTTTGAACATAGGCCTCCCCCAAATAAATAAAGTTTTTCTATTTTGCGCCACTTGCTTCCGGTTTTCTTAACATCATCCGCCCATCTCATTTGTGATCTTCCTCTGCTTCTCTTTCCTAACCATGGTATCCATTGTTGTATTTCGTGATTCCATCTCGTATCCTTTAGTCGGATTGTGTTCTGCAAAGCATTTGTTTGTTTTTTTTTGTCTATAATTCTCACCATGAGCACTGATCTTTCCATCGCTCTTTGTGCTTTTACTTTTTATCCATATTAGACTTGGTAAGTGTCCACGCCGGTCAACCATACATGAGTATAGGAGGATACACTGATTGTAAATTCTGGTTTTCAAATATTGTTCTATTTTTGTGCTTTACAAGATCCAACTTAGTTTTCCAAATTCTGCCACGCTAACCTTATTCTTCTATTAATTTCTTTGTCAACTTTCGAAGAGCAATAATACAGCTAAATAGCTTGTTGTAGGATAGAAATATAACAAAAGATATAAAAGCACCATAAAAGTATAACAACTTAGTAGTGACCGCTGAAAGAGAGAACTTTTAAAATATGTCCTCTTTACAGCTCGTTAATTGTTTACCTTGGGATATTACTCTACTGTAATTGTCAACTAGCTGGTACATTTTATTTCAGATTAGTCATCTCACAAGCCTTTCTGATGAAAAATAAACCTCGAAAAAGGTGTAAAAATTGGTAGGAGACTCCTTCCATATGTAGAGTATGTTTCAACTATAGTGAAGGAAATTTCTAGGAACAGTAAAGAATCACTAAACAAAACAGTGCCGTTCCAAAAAATACCTATGCTTTAAATCAAATTCTTAGACAGTTACAAACAAATAATAAACAATGTTATTAGATTATATTTTTGGCAATATTGAACTACATTGGACCAGATTTGGCAATATTGTTCAATTTAGGATCCAGAAGGCCGGATGATAAAGTCTTTTACGATAACATGACTTACCTAAAGCTTATCTAAATAAACTACTTACCCAAATAATTGTTTTTATGGCTTACCTTGTACTTCAGAGCCGTTACTTTTTTCAATAACGGGGGAAGTAAATTGAGTCATATCGATTTATCGCTTCATAGCTATAATTTAATCACCTAAAACAAATTTAATTTATGGATTTACGTCAACATGATCTACATGTTAACATCAACACAAAAAATTTATAATACCCCGTGTAACAATTTAGTAAACATTAAAAAACGATGTCTTTATTTATACAACACATTTAGTTAAGTTAGAACCATATGGAAAAATTTTTTATTAATAACTTTAGGAAAAAATACTATTTATAAAGAGTTCTGCAAAGACTAAAATCCAAAATGCAACCATAGGTTATCAAATTCTTAATTACTATTTAACTGGGAATAAGCCACATTTAAAGATAAAAATACGTTTATTGACATTTCAATTTCCACTTCGGAAATCGTTCTCAAAATACAAACAGTAAATTAACAAATTTTGTTTTTGGTTACATAGTGAAAAATTCTTCTAATAATTTAATTTTATCTGACTCATTTATATTGACAATTCAGACATACATTATGCATTTTAAAGTAGACGACTTTAAAATAATATTGCCAATATTGTTGAGTTGCGCTCCTGGGACGACTTTACTTATTAGATAGTTCATTCGCTTACATGAAATCAACTTTAACTTGGGAATATCCGTCAGAAAAAAATCATAGCATGTAATTCGTCTTTAAAAAGATAAACACATGACATGATGACAGTAAAATTCTCCTGTTAGTGATTCCATAGTAAAATTCTGAGGGAAAAACCAGGAAAAAAACCTCATAATACTATCCCAACATGGTAAGTATTTGTTCGTGCATTTAGTTTACCTTCAATAAACATAAAAAATTCTGATTTTATATGTTTCGTTATTTAAAAAACATAGATGATGTATCCTCTATATGTTACTGACTTACTAATACTGGTATTTTCTTATTAATAACTTCCTCTTTCAATATTGGTAACCAGATCCTGCTACGTTCTGCCGAGGAATTTGCGACACAGTTGGCCTCATTTAGCATAATTAGAGCCGCTTCTTTGATTTTTCTTTTTTTACCATCCGTTTCTTTTAGGACTACATTTGAATTATTCCATTGAACCCTATGTTCTTTATCCCATGCGTGTTTACATATTTGAGATCTATCAAATTCTCTATTTTTAATATAAGATTGAGGTTCACTTATTCTAACATTTAATGGCCTTGATGTTTCACCTAAATAAAACTGATCGCATTCACAAGGTATTTTATAAATGCAATTTTTTGTCCTTTCTTGTTCATTGTTAGGTTTGGTTTTGTTTGGTTTTTATCAATGAACAAGAAAGGACAAAGAATTGTATTTATAAAATACCTTGTAAATGCGATCAGTTTTATTTAGGTGAAACATCAAGGCCATTAAATGTTAGAATAAGTGAACATCAATCTTATACTAAAAATAAAGAATTTGATAGATCTCAAATATGTAAACACGCATGGGATAATGAACATATAGTTTAATGGAATAATTCAGATGTAGTCCTAAAAGAAACGGATGGTAAAAAAAATCAAAGAAGCGGCTCTAATTATGCTAAATGAGGCCAACTGTGTCGCAAATTCCTCGGCAAAATGTAGTAGGATCTGGTTACCAATATTGAAAGAGGAAGTTATTATTAAGAAAATACCAGTATTAGTAAGTCAGTAACATATAGAGGATACATCATTTATGTTTTTTAAATAACGAAACATATAAAATCAGAATTTTGGTCTTTATTGAAGGTATACCAAATGCACGAACAAATACTTACCATGTCGGGATAGTATTATGAGGTTTTTTTCCTGGTTTTTTCCTCATAATTTACTATGGAATCACTAACAGGAGAATTTTACTGTCATCATGTCATGTTTTTGTCTTTGAATGAACTATCTTACAAGTAAAGTCGTCCCAGGAGCGCAACTCAACAATATTGGCAATATCATTTTAAAGTCGTCTACTTTAAAATGCATAATGTATGTCTGAATTGTCAATATAAATAAGTCAGATAAAATTAAATTATTAGAAGAATTTTTCACTATGTAACAAAAAACAAAATTTGTTTAATTTACTGTTTGTATTTTGAGAACGATTTCCGAAGTGGAAATTGAAACGTCAATAAACGTATTTTTATCTTTAAATGTGGCTTTTTACCAGTTAAATAGTAATTAATTTAAAATGCCACAAGAAAATACCTTCAGGACAATATCAAATTATTTGACTACCAAACGAAGTTTGTCAAAAATAAGAATTTTTCTCAATAGAAAATGAACTTTATTTTTGACAATTGCAAATTACGTTAACATATTATCCAATAGCCTTGAGTCAAAACATTTTTTTTGTAGCTTGAAACGGTATTTTTTATGTAGGTATTTATGTTTCACATATTTGATTTTCGTTTACTATCAGGTAATGAAAGAGAGGGAGGTAATAACCAGAGAAAAACCAAGTACTTTCTGCTCGATTACATATATAGGTAAAATATCAACAAAAATATCCAAACAGATAAAAAAGAAAGGAATATCACCAGTTTTCCGAACAAATAACAACCTAGGCGAATGTATCAAAAACAACAAGAGCCAAAATAAAAAAAAACACTTACACAGTGTTGTGTACAAACTTAAATGTAGCGACTGCCCAAAAACTTACATCGGTCAAACAGGTAGAAACTTTAATAAACGTATAGCAGAACATAAAAGGGCTTTCAATAATAGAAAGAAAGAATCTACATACGCACTTCACCTTCTAGATGACAATCAGTATTTTAATGACGAGTTTAAAATTCTTCAAAATCAAAATCAACAAATTAAAAAACACATATATAATTCTGAATGACCAACTTGAGACAAACAGTTCTCCCCTCCTCAACCTATTTCATTAGAGACTATAGTCAAAACAGCTGTAGTGATAACAAGTTAAAATAAATTTTGTGGAAGTTTAAAAACAAAGTTTTTAAACTAAAGTAAAATAAAGATGTTATATTATAATTTACAATTTATTTCTAAAAATATATTCATAAAACTATTGTGAATCGGTTTGTATCATTTAGTAACTAAAAACTATTTAAGCAATAATTTTCTAAATATCAAATGTGTAAATTATACCTTTTGTCAGAATAATAAATGATAAACATTAAAAAAAAATTTCAACAGAAAATCTCACCTCAATTTAAGTTTTTTATTAGGAATCCACTGTATTGAAATTTACAATATGACCAAAACACATAAAACCCAAAACTAAGGTTAAGGCAAGAATGTGTAAAACAGCTTTTTATCTATAATAGTATGCTGATGACGTAGCCACTTATCAATAAACTGGAGTTCGCTACTCATTGCAATTATTACTTAATTATACATAAATGTTAAGTAGTATGTATTATTCATAAATCTTAATTGGTAGTTTTTGAAAACAACTTTTATTAGTATATGAGTCAAAAAATAAAGTTATAGTTATAGATATATTTGTAAAGCATTTTAGTATAATAAAAAGAGAAATCATATAAATTATAACCACTGTGCTTTTCAAAACTTGCAAAGCAAACAACTTGATAAATTACTTGGCAAGGGAATCTAAGATTACATTCCACATGCCGTTCATCATGGTCAAAATTCGTAGTGAATTCAATTTCTGGTACTTCAAACAGAGCAAAGAAATAAAATATGAAGACGGTACTTTTATAAAGCGCACAGATGATATACTGATACAATCTTCCTCCGTGATTCCCATGTTTCGAGTTAGGTGCCAGGCCAAATTAATATTCCGTATAGTAGTACTGACAACTAGCACGTACTTTAATAATAAACGCAACTGTTTCGTACTTTAATACTGATGACGACAATAACGTCTTCCTGCTTTGTTTTGGACAACCTACATTTGGCATTAGCTGTGACAAGTCTAATCTGACTACTTACGCTTTAGCACTGACGTTCTCTACTTGCTGTTTGAAGCTGAGTCTGGCATCAATCACCATTCCTAAGTAACGAAGGAATTATTATGATGTGATTTTATGTTCTCCAATGCTCAGTATTTCGGTTTCCACCTGTTTTAGTCTACTAATAAGCATTGGTTTAGTTTTGTGCTTCGCTAGTTTTAAATTAACCTTGTTCATTCATTTGCAGTTTCTTCCGAAGATAATATCGAGGATTTATTTCCTCAAGGTGCTTTACGAAGATCACCACAGCTACATTGTCGGTGTATGCCACGGGCCCAGCACGGTCCTTGATAATTCTAGCTTAAGCAACTCATCATACATAATATCATACAAGAGGGGGTCTAACACAAAGCCCTGTGGCACACCTCCAGTATATATTCTTTCGAGGCACACTTTGTGTCATATTTTAAAAGTCATTCAGCGAACTATCCTGCTTAAATATGCCGGTACCCTTATTTTGGTTAAAGCTTGCAGAGTGCAATTCCAGTTTGCGGAGTCGAAAGCACTTTTGATATCCTATTTGGCCACCAGACAGTACTTCTTTGTCCATCTGCTGCACAGCTGTGTTAATGACAAGATTAATCGCACATAGAGTGAGTGCTCTTTTCTAAAACCATACTACTTGGTGTTGAACTGCGGTTCAACTGCTGCTTCAATTCTTTCTAATATCTTGCTAGATGTAGTCAGCATATAGACCAAACGATAAGATGATAATTCCTCTGGTGGTTTCTTCCCGTTTAGAAGAAGCACTAATCTTTGTTACTTCCATATGTGCGTAAATATACCCTCCTTTTGGCATGTATTGTAAACCTCTGCTTTTAAACTGCTTGCTAAATGACTACTTTTATAGTGTGTATGTGTGTGTGTGTATGTATGTGTGCGTATATGTGTGTGAGTGTGTGTATCCACTGCTGTCACATTCTCCCGATTCTCAACTCTGCCATCATTTCTTCCTATTTGGCCACAGGTAATAGTATCAGTCAGCACTTATCTTCTCAAAAAACAATTAACTGCTGTTAAGCTGTGTGTGTCGTATATTATTGATTTTTTTCAATTTTTTTTCCATGTTTTTAAATAAACCTGTGGGCACATAGTCGAAGCTAAGATCGACTCCGCGTATGAGGTTTCGTAATCCATCTCCCGTCATAAGGGATTCTTCCGGCGGTGCTCATGTATTGCTCAGCCATTTGTAGCCCATTGCTACAAGCATTATCTGTAACGTTCAACGGTTTACAACAGTTTACAACGTTCTTATCATAGATCGTCCTCCAGTTCTCTTTCCCTGATTTCTTTATCAACACCTTCTCTTCAACTTCTTCTAGGCCTTCTTGGTCTCCGCCTACCTCTTGGTTGCCATTTAAGAATTTGTCTTGGCATTTTATTCTCTGGCATTCTCCTTACGTGTCCGTACCATCTATCCGAACAATAGTATGTGTACCCCCATGATTTCTCGGACTCTCTCGTTCGTTATTCTGTCGCGTCCAGAGATTCCCGCTGAGCGGCGCCAGAAGTAAATTTCTGTTGCTCTAAACATTTTCTTTGTTCTGTTATTTAGGGGCCACACTTCGCAGCCATACCTTGTGATACTTCCAAACCCCACTCTGTAAACTATTCTAATAGTTTTCGCATCATGTAACTAAGGTCTTCAGGGTCCTGTGCGATGATGACCTGGTCATCCGCAAAGCCCAGAATGTATAAAAATAAGTCCATTAGTGGTATGTCCATATTCGTACATTTTTTCTTTCATCTGTTGAGTGCTTCGAGATATATTTTGAATAATGTTGGAGATATACAGCATCCTTGTCTTAAACCTTTAGTCATTTTGAATCCCAGTGTTATCAGATTTCCGTTTTAATTCTTGTTGTTTGTTGTTAGTAAAACATTTTTACCGCTTCAATCAATTCTATATTTATATTTGTTTTTTCCAGTGCCTTTCATAATTAATCAAGCGAGACACTATCATATACTTTCCTAAGGTCTACGAACGTCAGATGGACTTCTTGGCCACAAGCAACTTTCTTTTCAATTATCTGAGTAATAGAGAAGACATGGTCTATTGTAGATCGACCTGCACGAAAACCAGCCTGTTCTTCGGCTTCCATATCTTGGTATTCTTCTTTTATTAGATTTTTTATTATTTTCCCATATATTCTGCTAATACTACTAGTAACTGCAATTCCTCTATAGTTTTCAGGTTTCGACTTATCTCCCTTTTTGTGGATGGTGCTCATATGCGAATCTTTTCATTCCTCAGGTATTTCATGTTTATTTATGTATTCCTAGAAAAGTTGTCGTAGTAGCTGAATTAGTATTTTGGGTTCATGTTTGATGAGTTCCGGAGCTACATTTCCTGGGCTAGGTGATTTATCATTCTTTAGATGTCTGCATACGGTTTCGATTTCTTTTTCATTTATTCTGATTGGTTATCCTATCAGCCTGACGCCTTGTAGACCCTAGTTCTCTACCTGTTTGAAGGACTCTCTTGTCTCTGTTAGTAAATCTTTAAAGTATTCTTCCTAAACAAAAAGAGAAATCATATGATTTCTACCTGGCGAAATCGAATTTAAATATAAGCCGCCGTGCTCCCTAAAACTTGCGAAGCAAACAGCTTGATGAATGAATTGGCAAGGAAGTCTAAAAATTGCACTCCAAATGCCGTTCATCATGGCCTATATTCGTAGTGAATTCGATTTCTGGTACTCCAAATGAAGTAAATAAACAAAACAAAATGACGGTATTAGATTTTGATTTGATACAGAGCAGCAACAAGCCGCATATACGTATTTCGATCTCTTTAGATCTCCCCAGTACGGTATAGCTACTACTCCATGAGTGTAGTATCTATGGAGTAGTAGCTATACCGTACTAAGGAGATCTAAAGAGATCGAAATACGTATATGCGGCTTGTTGCAGCTCTGTATCAAATCAAAATCTAATACCGTCATTTTGTTTTATTCTTCCCAAGTTTAAAGTGATATAGATTGGATAATATCTCCTTTTCTGTTGTTTCTTAAATTGTCAGTTTCCAGCTTTCTGAACTTTGGCTTCCACCAATAAATGTATTTAGCATGGTGCACTTTTTTCCCATGATTCATTTTTCTTTTGCATATTTTTCTGTCTTTTACATTTCTTGTGTTCAGATATTTTTTACCAATATGGTTTTTGTTGTCCGATCTTTTCATATCGCCCTAGTGCTTCTAGGGCAGCGGCGTGTATATATTATTTCATGGTTTTGAATCACTGATTAACATTCCTGGTATTATCTTCCGTTTCAATTAGTTTTTGTTCCAGTCTACGTTTATATAGGTTTCTAACACTTTCTTGGTGTAAACTATTCAAATTGTATCGTACTTCTTGTACTTGCTCCTTTGTGTGGTTATCTTGCAACGTTTTCTGTTCTTTGTGACCATGGTTTTTATCGAGCATTGTAATTTTTATTATTCTCGATTTGGGAAAATTAGCTTACGCCACCACTATGGATTAAGAGTGAAAATTCACAAGAACATATATGCACTTTATTATGATAAAAAAAAAACAAAAAAAATTTATACCAACATATTTTTCATTAGCCATTCCGAAATTTCGATAAGATAACCCAACAATTTTTATATCACGAAATTTTATTCTTTTATTTATGGCTTGAAAGTAGATGTCAATAAAAAAGTCCTAAACTGTAAATTAATATCTCAGGAAGCCGACTATAGATACTTAAAACAAAAATCCAGTTTTATTTATGTTTGATAATTTATAGCTGACCATATTCTTCGATCCGAAAGAAAGCCGTTCATTCACAATAAGTGTATTAGCAGGGTTGTACTAGGTCTACATGAAATATGCAAAAACGTAACCCCATTTTATCATTTTATTTATTTTTTCCTACCTATAACACGTTTGCAGATATTTTTACAATTAAATAATTACAATTGTTTGCATATGTTCGTTTCATACAACCACTGTTTATTAAATTTTTGATACAATAAAATGCAAAATGGGCCTAATATTTTCTTAATCATTACTGCGGTAAAAAAAGAAAAACAAAATATATATAGCGAGTGTTTGCAACTTTAATTTTGTCGCTTCTCGCATTCCAATCGCCATAATTTGTTATCGGCCCAGTCTCCTTCTTGAAGACCTCTATTTTCCATTTCTATATGAATATTGGATATCCATTTCTTTCTTGGCCTTCCCCTTTTATTTATCTGTGTAGGTCTCCAGTTCCAAACCTTTCATGGTATCCTTTCTTCGTTCATCCGTCTCAGGTGTCCATACCATTTTAATTGTTTTTCGGCTATCGTATCCATTATTGTGTTCTTTACTTTCATTC